TTAGTATTGTGTAATAGACGGTAAAACAAAAATGGTTCCGCAGTTCCGGTCTGTTACGAATTTAATTAAAATAAGAGTTCTGAATAAAAATAACATAACCAAGAATGTAAGAGATATCTTTTTATGTTTTCATTTAGTCCTTTGTAATTTTAGAATCCATTTGCATTCTGATAAGAGCTTTAGTAATAGTTCATTAAAATTAATTACGATAACTAGCAGATATTCATTTATCGTCTGTAGCTTTTTTCTATTTCTCTTCAACATTGTAAGTAGTATTATTTGAAATTGTTAGTAAGTAAAGTAGACTAATAAATAAGAAATATTGAAATGTTGTGTTTAAAATGTCCACCTTTTTTAATAATTATTTAATATTTAGTATTAGCATAATAATCATGTATTATAAAATTTCTGTGTTTACGTCGATTTAATTCCTACTTGTAGGGGGCGCCACATACAGATTCTTTAACTATTTTGATGAGGAATAACTTTTCGTCCGTACCTGTATTATAAAGCTACCGAGTGAAAAAATATACATTTGTCACATTTTCTAGGTAAAAATGTATCTTGGTAAAAATCGCTACGAATAACCGTTCTCAAGATATTTTAAATATAAATAGTCAATCTTCTTACAGTGCCATACTCTAGACAGGGTGATTCAGATTTTACAAGAATAACTTCAGGTATCGATAGAACTAACCGAAATAATGATAGTTTGTATTATAAACCATATTCCAAAAACGCTTCCGCTTGGAGTAAAATGGCGCCAAAATTTGAATTAAGTTCTCCATGCATGCCTTGCTGCTAATTAAGTAACAATTTTCGAACGCAGCTAAGCCATGTCCGGAATTTTGTGGAATATCTCGAAAACTAAGGGAGATATCAAAAAAATTTAAAAATAAGAAAAGTTAGTAAAAAGACGGAAGGTATCAGAAAAAAATACAAATTTATTCAGTGGCGTGCGACAAAAAAGTTCTACAAGGTTCCGTGCAGTTGACACTCACAAAAACAACACCCTGTATAGCAATTAATCCAATTTTTTTCACACATATCAGCCACGTTTTCCTTTGCATTTAACCAAACATTTGAGTATTTAGATCTTCTGGCTTACGAGTAATAAAATAAAAACTGAAAAATATTTCAAATTTTAGCGCCATTTTACTCCAAGCGGAAGCGTTTTTGGAGTATGGTTTATAATACAAACTAGGTATAATTATTTCGGTTAGTTCTATCGATACCTGAAGTTATTCTAGTAAAATCTGAATCATCCGGTATAGAGCGTTGGCTACCTCTCACATGTACTTGTGATGTGTGTCATCAGTGTTTCGCAAGTACAACTTAACAAGTATAGCTAGAGACGTGAGAAATATACATAACCAAGCCACCGGGCTATCCCCAAGTCTCTTCCTATATTTGTACAACTGTACACGGGACCTACAGTTTATCGCCGAATCCGAACGGCACTATTTGAGAGGCTGTACAAGGAAAATATACTCAAGGGGGTTTACCATTGCCTTCCTGGAGGTGGCGGCTCGTTGATCGCTCTATTTAGATAAATAAATATTTTTATTTAAATAAATAAAGCGACGGTACTGGCTGGGGATCGAACCCAGTACCTTCCGCCCCGCAGATCGACACACTACCCCTGGAGCTACGACCGGCCAAATAGTCAATACATGTCATTATTTACAAAAAATAAACACGTTGAGTAGATAGTCACTGAAATAATAAATTTGAGAATTTTTTATTTATTTACATTAATCATCTTTTTTAGACAAAATGATGATAAAACAGTTTCTGTTGAACCTTTAGCTCAAAATAATTTCAAATTTATTATTTTGGTCTAATAATTATCTAGTTAACATGTTAAATTTTCGCCAGTGATGACATGAATTGACTAGTTATATTCAAATTTCTTGGGAACCATTCAGCTGGGACACCATTAGGCCAAAAGCCACGCTATCCCACGTATGCCCACGTGTCGCGACATGGGAAAAGTGTACACATGAGATCTGGAACAGAGGACACACGTGCAATAGCGTGGGGTGGCGTGGCGTGTTGCCTATGCAACGCAATACATGTAATTAAATGGAAAAACATACGCACACATCTTCATGACGTGGGCGTGGCGTGGCGTGTTGACTAATGGGGTCCCGGCTTTACTCGTAGCGGTTTTTACCAAGAGATCGGTTTGGCGTAAAATAAGACGGAAATGTATATTTTTTCACTCAGTAGTTTTATACAGGTTCGGACAAAAAGTTATTGCTCTTCAAAACAGTTAAATAGCATATAGGTCCGCTCCCTACAAGTAGGAGTCATATTACCATCGAAATTAAATGTCTCGTGCCAAAAAAAAACCCTGACACCAGTTTTCATCCAAATATCGACTATAGATCAGAAATTATTTGGAAAAAGCCGAAATATAAAAAATGAAATTTCTATACCCGGTATCTCTGAAACGAAAAATTTTAACATAAATTTATACGAACTTTTTACTGTTGTTTTTATAAGTTTCCTGAATAAAATTCGGACTACCCTGTATATTACGTTTTTTTTTCCAAAGTCACTAAATCCATAATAATTTGATAAATCGCCATCACCGTATATTGTGACCCTAAAAATATAGTTAAGTTATTTAGCTATGAAATTACATTTGCTTTCACCTTTTCTGTTTCCTCCAATTTAGGACATTTCTACTTAACAGTAACAACTTACGATAGTTTATGGTTTGATAAATATTACAGTTGTTAAAATTTAAATTATTACAAAGCAGAAAAGATCATTCAAATAAAAATAGGATTATTATGTATTGTTAATACAAAAATATATTAACTCAATTATGGATTTTGTGAATTTATTATTTTAACTTGCTGCTACATTCACTTCCATTGATATCAACCTATTGTATTATACTAACTGATTCCAACAGAGTGGTTCTTGCTGGGCCGTCCTGAGGGGTGGAGCAGAGGAGCAGTTGCTCCAGGCGGCCAAATTTGAGGGCGGCCGTTTGGGTACAATTGTACTGAATTCGGTACATTTTGACCAAATTCGGTACATCAGTACTACATTTTAGAAAAATGGTCATTTTCGGTACGAAATTTCCAACAGTATAAATGCAACTAGTAAACTGCTTCAGAATGAGAAACTCGACAACATTGAGTCCACAAAAGCTCTAAAACTATCGACGACTATTTTGTCAAAATAAGGACTGACGACCATTTTAGAGAAATATTAGTGGATGCTGCAGAGCTGGCAGAAGAGCTGGAAATTGAAGCAGTTTTTACTAATGACATTAGAGCTCGTCCTAGAAAAAAAACTAGACAGGTTTTGTATGAATCAGTGGATGAGCCTATTTTAGATCCACAGGAAAAGTTTAAAATCGAATTTTTCTTTGCTGTCCTGGATACAATCCATTAAAAGCTCACTCGGACTATTTTTCGTTCTTATACGACTTCACAGTTCTCAGGAATATCAACCGAGAGGAAATAACAAAGCATTGTGTGGATCTTCATCTCTATTTAACGGACGGAGACAAACATGATATTATGGCCTAGAGCTTCAGGACACTAAACACAAAAAAAACAAACACTAAAATATTTAAAAATTCACGATCTGATTGGAAACTTTCCAAATATTTACATCTCCATAAGAATCTTATTAACGCTGCCGGTTTCAGTGGCAACCGGAGAGAGAAGTTTTTCTAAACTCAAAATAATTGAGAATTACCTGTAGATCAAGTATGACACAAGAACGATTAAGCGGATTATCTTTAATATCTATTGAGCACGAAATAGAGAACAGTCTGAACATCGACGATTTTATTTCAGAGTTCGCCGAAAAAAAGCAAAAAAACAGTTTTAGTTTTGTCCATGTTAGGAATTTTGTTTCTCAGGATTATGTCTATGTATTTATTACGAATTTTGTTTTGTTAATAATTTATAATAATTTATATTACCTAGTTTTAGGTGTTAGTTGGGCTAATGTACCTTATAATGTTTTTTTTTATTCTTGTTAGGTACGATGTTACACTCCTTTTAAATAAAAAAATTTAAATGCTAATTCTGAAAATCTTGCAATATTTCTTTCCTTTTTTTCCGAAAAGCGTTTGATAATATTCGTTACCGTCTGTGGCACAACTTTCATAATTTTTTTTCACACCTGATTCTTCGGATCAAACTGCCCACTAATAAAAAAACGATTGTCTGTAGGGGGGGGGGGGCGCATTTTTTCGGGCTTGCTCCAGGCTGCCCTGGACAGAGTCTAAGGACGGCCCTGGTTCTTTTTTTAACTTTCTGTAATGTTTATTAGCAATTATTGAAGTTTAAATACCCTATGATCGAAAAAAAAAACGGCGTCAGCGATGGCTATGAAATGAAGATCGCTATCATTTTATATGTAAAATTATATGAGGAATGTCATTGATCGTCATTTCCAAGCCAACTGGACGCCGTTTTTTTTTCGATCATACGGTATTATGTTATTATATTATTTAGTACAATGTGTTGTTCAATGTATTAATTATTATCAAATGAAAATCACCTAACCAATATATTACAACAAAACAAACACATTAATATTAAAATTAAACTTGTTTTAAATTTAAAAAAAGTTGTAGAAAATCTTTGAAATAGATAATAATATAAAAATATGTCATTATATATTTTTCCCCATTTCTTCCCATCAGAAGATTTTCAGATACAGAAAAATTGTTGCTTATACGAAATGTGAAAATATTCTGCTTTCAAGCAAATTTTTACTCGATAATCAATTTTTTTTATTTTATTTTATTGTGAACTGATATTTTCCTAAATACATCTCTGTGAAACTATGGCGAGTGCCACGACTATACTTTGCCTAATGATAGACCACGACTATACAGCTACGTCAGTGGTCACGGGACGCGAGAACAAGGTCATATAAAGTGACAGAAAAAGAACAAAGGCTTTGACAAGGAGTAAAGCTACTAGTTTCCTATGGTATGGTATGGTTATAATAAACATTACCTTTGATCTCTCCGCACTAATATCCACCATAGCCAGTTTCTTGCCATTAACGGTGGCATTAATAACAAATCCGAAGTTATCTCTAGAATACTTAAACCATTCTCCGACGGTTTGCGTCAAGTCAATTTGAAACCATTGTCCCCTGCCTGGTGATGGAGTCTCTTTCTTGCTCTGGACTTTGACCAAGATGGGCGGTTCGGAATGATCTCCCAATTTGTGCACTTTATAGATTTCGATCAATATGTCCGATTGTGAGCGTCGTTCGTTGTTGGTTCGGAGAAACAAATTCAGAGTAGCGTTGGCGACGTGGTACTTGGTAATACTGTCGGTAAAGGGGAAGTAGAGGACATCATGGCCTTTCCAACTATGTCGTAACCGAGGATCTGGAAAAAAAAATATTTGTTAGTCTTAGAAAATTTGAGTGTACGCCTGGTATACCGGGTGCATCTCAAAAGTGCCTCACCTCTATAACATTTTTATTTTTTTAGATAAAAAACAAGACTTGGTATGTTAGTATTATATGACATAAATTAGGATTGATTAAAGTATTTAACTGTTTTTGGCCACTTCCTGTTTCACCGGAAATTACTTTCAAAATCAACATGAAAGGTTGATTTTTAAAAGACACCCACCATTTTTTACTTTATTCGATATAAAATGACACTCTGAATAAAATGACATATCATATGTCAACTTTTAGCATTTTCGCTTTAAAAAATCGTATTTTAAATTTTAATATAGAGTGTGGTTCTGTTAAAAACAATAATTTTTAGTCAAGGAGCCTTGAAAAATAGATTTGATCCTCTAAAGCGGCCATATATTATCAAACAAATTGCGCAACAAAGCGATGCGTAACGTTGCGTTGCACAACTGATTCAGCAGTCCATACATTATCAAAAAAGTTGCGCAACTGCATCACCCATGCACTTAGTAAAATTTTGATCAAACTTTTTATTAAAAGTTGTGCATTGTTTGAGAAATAATCATGTCCTCAATTGTCATTGCCTCAATTATTATCGTATATACCGTAAATGATGTCAATGATAACAAAAAACGAAAAAGAAAACAAAAAATTTGGATGAAAGAACTAAAAGAACTAAAATATTGCACAACGAAGCGCAACACACACATACACTACACAACGCGCTGCGCAAACGCCTGTTGCACCAAAGAATTCAAACATTCTTGAAACTTATCAAACAATTGCGCAAGGCATCAAACGTTACCATACATTGGCAACTCGTTGCGCAACAGCCTGTGTCGCGCAATTTGTTTGATAATGTATGGGCCGCTTGTTTTTTGTGTCTCACACACTTGGTATTTCGAGTCTAATTGTCGCTATGAACCGCATGTCACAATAATTTCAAATAAACCCTATTATAAGAAAATGTCAAAAGTGGAAATATGATATGTCATTCTATTCGCAGAGTATAATTTTCTATCAAATAAAGTAAAAAACAAGGATGCTATATAAAAATGAAAAGTTGTAGTTCTTTCCGATGAAACAGGAAGTGACCAACAATAATTGAACACGTCAATCAATTCTAATTTATGTCATATACTAACGTACCAAATCTCGTTATTTTATCTGAAGAAATAAAAAAGTTATAGGGGTGAGCCACTTTTAAGACGCACCCGGTATAACGTGTAATATTAATTTTACCAAGACAGTTAAGCATTTATAATGCCAAATCGAAATTTTGTTGTAGTTAATGATGTGCTCAAAGTTTTTTCTTCTGTAAAAAGGGATAATCCAATTCTGATGTCATTCATAACGTATGTAGAACAAATCTCAGTACTCAGTCAGGGAAGACTATCCAAACAACGTTAGACAGACCTTACTTATTATAAATACAGTCATAAATTATTTCAGAGCTCACTTTGAAGAAAATGTGTAAGGACACACTAGTAATATGGACAAAAATATTATCTTCAATTGGTAAATTCATGACTTCAGAATATTGAAAGTTGCTAAAAATTGTCTTGCATGAAACAGACGAGGTACCAAAAAATGTTAGAAAACACAATTATTAAACAAAAATATAACAATTCTAAAAAGATATCTATAGATATACGGCAACAAGGCGATGTGTTGGCAACTTTTACATGAAAATCGTCTCTAAATGTCTATTGTTGGGCCTCAGTGCGTACCGCTTTCTCAAAAACACTAAACATTTCAATTATGTATAATCATCGTGGCAAATAACATAGAGTTGTGGCCTCTCTTACGACACGCAAAATGCAAAAGCTTCTGGCCCTTTGGAATCAGTGGCGGGACAGGAGAAGGTGGCTTGATGCAAACACTTATTGTATTTTAATATCTTTTTCCACAGCAACTGTCAAAATTGCCTTATATCTATCAAAAATAGTAGATAAAATAGTACTTTAACCGCAATGATAGATTAAATTTAATGATACTTTAACAGCGAGGATAGGTTAAAAACTTTATTTCTTCTCGCACGTTTTTTAAATGCTTCCATTTTTGAAAAGTTTTGTACTCCTTTTCAGAAGTTATTCGGGATTTAAATGGAAGTAGTTTGGATATGGCGTTTGTCGCCTCAGCCTGAATATCTGTTGGTGATTTACTTATTCCGTTTTGAGCCATTTCTGGCCCCAATTCAATCAGCAATCGAGACTAAAGAGAATTAAAAAATATTGACTCAAAACTGACAACTAAAGAGACAGCTTTATTTATTTGTCAAATTACATAGAAACCAACGCCAACCCAGCACAATTTTTTTTTAAACGTAACTCGCTATGGAAAAAAATATTGTTTTATACACGACGATAAAATTGCATTATCGTCTCCCGAAATTAATTCACTCGCGATTTCATCACAGCCACTACTTATTACAGACATTACTCACATGTATACATGCATATAATAGTTATTTACAGTACAAGTGTGTTTATGAACATGATTACAACAACGAGTGTGAACGATTAGAACGACGAGGTCGTAGACCGAGTCGTTCTAATCACACGAGTGTTGTAATCATGTTTAAACGCACGTGTCATGTACAACGTTTTATCTACAACCGAAAAATAAGAAAATGCTGTTTTAATTTTCGTTTATTAGTCGCCCACCTTTAACTATGACATTTGTCACATTTATGCTGAAAAGTCAGTTTGCCCTGTCAAGTAAACGCGAGCACTTTTTGCCCAGAAAAATCATTTTAAAAATTACGATGAGCGATTCCGAAAGTCTCCCTTCAGATGTAGAACTTGCCGCAGTACGTGCCACGGAATCATTATTGCCGGAAAAGTTAATATATTTAGATGTTCGTAGTTGTTTTTCAGTATTATAGCAACTAGTTGTGTTATAGATTCATAACACCACTAGTTGTGTTATGAATCTCATAACGTAACTATAAAATACTAAAAAAATAGTGATGTAAAAACGTTATAACTAAACGGTTGTAGATAAAATATAAATAACACACGCCTGAGTTTTTGAAGTAATAAAAAACTGGTGTGTTGTAACTTCAAAGCCTCACCATGTTATAGAAAAAGCAAGTAAGATAGTTTCGTTTATCACAACCTTTGAGATGTTTTACTTACACACAAAATTAATGCACAGGGTGTTTTAAAGTTAGGATAAAAAAACAACCCCTCGATTAACCCTGTATAATATACCAATTACTAAATTTTATATAAAAAGCTGAGTTTACGAATTAAAGTTTAAATAAATATATACAGCTTGATAAAAAATTCATGAAAATACTAAATAATAATAATAATTTTTAATTAAAACTGAACAGGTAACAATGCAAAACCAGGCAAATGTCAACATACTTTAAGTTTGTCAACCTATGATTGAATGCATTCTGTGCTGTCAACGCTACTATGTTATAGTACCTACGGTTAGAGACCCCAATAAGAAATTATTTAAACTGTTAGTTACTTTCGTTCAAATTTAAATTATCTTTTCTGTCAATTTTTGGATGTCGTCTCTCGAAATATTCCAAGTCTCATCATTGGTCAGAATTTATTTTCTAAAGTTAATGAGTGTCTAATAATATGTCGTAGAAAAATAATTTTACAGCTACTCATAGCTTTAATTCTTTGCCATTAATAATTTCTCTAAGACATATTGTTTTAAACAATGTGTCATTTAGGTTACCCCTATTATTTAACAGAATATTTTTCTGAAAGATACGTCACTGAACAATCAATGAAAACCAAGGCTTAAAACACAACAAACTTGATATCTGTTTGTATCAGCATTTGCATTGAATTTGTAACTATAACGGACATACGTTTCCTGAAAATGGTTTTAAATGACATTTATTTAAAGCTATTTTCAGGACTTCAATGACGTGACCCCCCTTCTTGATCATTCTACATTCTACCATGAAACGGTTGTAAAACTTGAATTGATAAATAATTATTCTGTTCTTGAAGGATATTAATAAACTTTTTTATTATTTTTCTCCAGTTATTGTAGTTTTATAGATTATAGTGTAGAACAGATCTCCACAACCGTTTAATGAGTAATACAAATTATGGAATAATATAAAGGGTGGTCCGAACTGCAGATAAAAATAAGTTATAAAGTTCCTATAAATGTATGTCCTAAAATGCTTAGTTTCAGAGATACAGGATGTTGAAGTTTCATTTTTATTTCGATATTTTCTAAATAATTTCTGTAGTAACGTCAATATTGGATGAAAACTAGTATTTGGGAGTTTTTTGACATGAGAAATTTGATTTTGAAGTCAATATGACTCCTACTAGTAGAGGGCGCCACCTACATGTGTTTTAACTATTTTGAAGTGTAATAACTTTTTGTCCGTACCTGTATAAAACTACCGTGCGAAAAAATATACATCTCTGTGACTTTTTACGTAAAAAATATCTCTTTGTAAAAATCGCTATGAGCAACCATTTTTAAGATATTTAGAATGGAAATAGTCAATACATGTCATTATTGATGAAAAATAAACACACGTTGAGTAGATAGTTATTTCACTGAAATGATAAATTTAGGAAATTTTTATTTTTTTTAAATTAATCATACATTTTTCTTCAAAAAATGATGATAAAGCAGTTTTTGTTGAACTTTTAGCACAAAAACGTTTCAAATTTACGATTTCAGTCTAATAACTATTTAGTCAACATGTTTAATTTATGTCAATGATGACAGGTATTGATAATTTCAATTCCAAATATCTGGAAAACCATTATTCGTAGCGATTTTTACCAAGAGACCTTTTTCACGTAAAAAACGTCGAAAATGTAATTTTTTTTTGTTCAGTAATTTTATACAGGTACGGCCGAAAAGTTGTTACTCTCCAAACCAGTTAAAAAATATGTAGGTGGTGCCCTCTACTAGTAGGAGTCATATTGACATCAAAATCATCTTTCTCATCTCAAAAAACTC